GTGTGCATGTGCATATTTGTGTGTATGTACTGTATTTGCATTTGTCTGGTGTGGGTGTGCGACTATATGTTGTGTGTATGTATTTTCAAGGAGATGGAAATAATGACTTCCTCATGAGATTCTGGGATTTGCCCCTTCTCCCACTCTCATCCTGCTCCCCCTCCTTCCATCTTTCTGTTTGCCTGTCTGTTTTCTCTCTCACAAATACCTACTGAAACGCACACTTGTTCACTTGTTATCTGGATGGAACAGCCTTTTCATTCAGACAGCTGCACAGAGAGAGGGGGAGTTGTGTGAGAAAAGAGGGACAAGTAGCAAAACTGCTACACAAGAACACAATAATAATAATAAAGTTTATTGAGTTTATAAGAAGTTGCTGAATTCAACTGGTTTAACTCCTCGCCTTGCTACAGGGAGGCAGAAATGTACTTGAGCTTGATTGATATATTGAACAAAAACAGAAAAATCATCAAATTGCAATGAAGTATTTTAAAAACAAAGGAATTAACAAGATAAATACATGCAGCATTTTAAAAATGTACTTCTGTGGCTTTATTAGATGTAATAGTTCTGTATTTATTTATTTTTACCTTTTTCAACAGCTTTACTTTGGTTGTGAAGAACTTCTGATGTAGACGTGTACTCTAGGGTGTGTCAGTACACTGTGACATCACTCAGGTACAACAGGGTAGAAACTTTCAATTAATGAAACACAGTGTTTCATCCTTGTATAGAAGCTACTCTTCTTTCACAATGGTCAACATATTTATTTCTACCCTCCTGTCTCCACTAACAATAAGATCAATTTCCTGGAAAGAGAAACCACCCTGTTCAACCATTATCTTTATAGGCATCATTTAAAAAAGTTGTGAAAACTTTGAATAGAAGGCATAGAACGACAGATGTGTCTCATAACTCAAAACACAGAAACAAGCAGGGAAACTAGACTCTAAACTTTGAATTGATACCACATTGAAGTCTGTAGATCAAATAGCGACTGAGTTGTAAAATCTGTGAGAAATCTTGTGTCATCCAAGGAAAAACAACTTGTTTTAATTTCTGCCATAGTCTAATACTGTATGACTAAGAAATCATAGACAAAAAACTGACTCTGAACTTTCAACACAATTATGTGTTAGAAGGAAAATGATAAACTAGACTTAAAGGATCAGTGTGTTGGATTTAGTAGCATCTAGCGTTTAAGTTCGGATCGGAACCAACTGAACACTGCTTCTGTCTGTATTTGACGAACTGCAAATTAGAATGAGAAGACTTTGTAGTGTTTAGGAGGAACTACGTTGGTCTTGAAACTTGTGAAAAAAGGCAAAAGGCTCTATGTACAGCCAGTGGTTTGTCTGTTCTGAGCTACTGTAGAAACATGGAGGTTCAACATGGTGGACTCGTAGAAGAGGACCCGCTCCCTCTGTAGATGAAATCGGCTCATCACAATCATTTTTATTTGCAGGTGATTACACACTAATGAAAACATACTTATGAATATTATATTCCATGTCTGACAAAAGATCCTCCTAAATGTTACACAGTAGAACTTTAAAGCTACATTTGTTGTTAATTGTTAATTGGCATTAAAACGTGTGTGAGTGGTGTGTGGACCCATATCTCCACAGAAGGTATCAAACTGAGAAGGGTATGTTGCCTTATCATAGAGAGAGGCAAACAAATATTTTATGCTTAAAGATAGAAATTGAAAATAACAAACACGTACATGTGTGCATGTGTGCGGTGTAAATGTTTCCATGCTTCGACTTCTACCTGAGTTGGGAATTATGCCCACTGGAAACACATCATACAAGATTCTCTGACAGAGCAGTAAAGAAATCACTTCAGTGTGTGTCCTTGTACATTATGCCTGTTTGTCTCTTGTGCATTGTGTGTGCGTTCTTGGATAAATGTAACTTATTCTGAAGAAATCGTGATAAAGCATTCTCCAGAGGAGTATATTTTATTTGGACTTTCATCTTTATTAAAAACATTACAGAGTGAAGATCAAATGTATTTTTACCTTGCAGGATTTAAAGCCTTGATTCATCAGAGAATTTAGTTTCTCCACTGTGTGTTTTTATCACTATAAATTAGGTGTTTTTGCTTTTAAGATGAATATAGTGAATTGTTCCACAGGGCACACTTCATATTCCTCCTTTTAACACACAAATAAAAGCAATCATACATCACAAAAATGTCATTCTGTAAATATTAAGAAAGATATTTTTACATATTTTAAATATTTTATACATACAAAATCATCCTGCTACACATGAACTGTTGGGGAAGGGACTTTGTTTTGACAAGATGCAGTACGTTGTTGATTTTTGACGTTACACAGATGTTTTAGAGCATCAGATTTCGTAGTAATCTGATGCTTTTGTTGAAGTTGGTAGTCAAACTAACTCTTTGTTTAGAGCGAGATGAGTGGAAAAGCATTTATTTTGTCACTGTCATTACACACTGGCATATATGATCCTCAACCTCAAGGGATAAAACAGTGAGTTCAGATGTGAGATTGTCTTGACAGCA